TTCAAATAATTTAACAACCTGTTCTCTGCCCTAATGACCAGCTCGGTAGGCGTGGCTTGGTGGTCATGTGACCATGTGGGCGTGGCCAACTCAATGTCACTCACGTCAATGGGCGCTTCGCCTTAGCTGTTACAATGTAATAAGGGTTAACCAGAGAGGCAGTTTCTGTAAGCAGGGCAATAAAGATTAGGCTAGAAACAACACCAGAATGTTTCCTTCCTGCCTTCCTTACAGGATTAGCCCTGTAAAGTGGAAAAAAAACAAAATAAGATTTCTTCCAACAACCAGTTCTCTGAACTGCTTAGAAAGTTAACAACCGGTTCTCCCAAATAGGTGCAAACTGTCTGAATCCCACCATTGATTCAGACGCTGTGAGATCAAAATAGCGGGGGCAATGTTGTTTTCTGTAACACTATGGAAGTGAATGATAGACTTTGTAGAAGTAGGATAGAAAGATTACTGATGTTTTTGAAATGTGATATTGGCAAAGATTCCTGAGAATACCACAAATAAACAAAAAACAACAACAACAAGCAAATGGATTATGGGCAAAATTAACTCAGAGTTTTCACTCAAAGCACAAATGCTGAGGCTCAAATTAGCCTACTTAGACAAATTATGTGAAGAAGTCTGTAACGCTGGAAAAAATATAAGGTAAAGAGAAGGTAAATGGACTCAGTTACAATCCTATTACAGCTTTATTGCAGGCCAACCTGGCGTTAAGTAGCAACAGCCCCATCCCTTTTGATATTCTGAAAGGGTATCAAATCACCTGGTATCACCTGGTTAGGTGATTAGATATCACTGGTACACCAATGGAACCAGAGACTTGGCTAGATGGCTCCACTGTTGAGGGGGACATTTTTTATTCACTTGGATTGTATTTTGGGATTTGGGGGGGATATTTATTACTCTACTTTTTATATAAGAACCGCAGTGGAGTAGTGGTTAGAATGCAGTACTACTTCTGCTGTCTGCCAGCTGCCTGCAATTTGGCAGATCAAATCTCACCAGGCTCAAGGTTGACTCAGCTTTCCATCCTTCCGAGGTGGGTAAAATGAGGACCCAAATTGTTGGGGGCAATATGCTGACTCTGTAAACCTCTTAGAGAAGGCTGTAAAAAGCACTGTGAAGCGGTATATAAGTCTAAGTGCTATTGCTATTTGTAGTCACAGTTCAAGAGTTGGCAGCTGTATAAATGTGATAAATAAATAAAAATTAATAAATAAACAGCTGCAGTACAGGGCTGCCAAAGCTCCAGCTCTTGGGCTGAACATGGGAACCGGAGCCACCTTCGCTGGGAATGGCCTGCTCCTGTCTCCTTCATATTTCTCCCATTGGATTTTCAGCTTTAAATCTGACTATACTTGAATTTGAATGTCTTTTCAAGGAACCTTCAGAATTTTCTTTTCTGCAACTATTTTATAGATAATGAGGCTGGCCATTTTGATAAGGCAGGCTGGCCAGCAGGCAATAAATAGTTAATGGAACAAAATAAAATTTAAGAAGGATTTTTTCTCAGATAAGAAAAGACATTTAATAACTCTGGATGCTTTTGCTCATAGCAGTTTCATAGCTGTGGTCTGCAGCCCCCCAGGGGCTTGGCACACAGAGCTATGCTTGGCAGGTTTTCCTGTAGGTTCACCAAGTCTGAGTCAACCGTGGTCAGTTGCTAGCCTGCATAGTTTTAGCAATTCTTGTTAAAGTCAAGGCCCTTGAGAAGAAGGGAGATGACTGGTTTGGGCATGTAGGAGTTTTCCCATCATTCTGGAAATATTATGAGATTGAAGTTAGATATAATTTCAGAGTATGTCTAGTTCTCAATCTACCTGTTAGTCTCTATCAATATACTTGTTCCCAAATTAAATCTGATGTCAGACATGGAATAATTTAAAAAAACCTGGAAGAACATATTGATTTTGTAGGACACAGCCACTGAACTTCAGGTGGGTTGTTTAACCTACAGGAGATAGATATGCCTTAAACCAGAGGTCTGCAACCTTAAACATTCAAAGACCCATTTGGACCCGTTTCCCACAGAAAAGAAAACATTGGGAGCCACAAAACCCTTCCCGTGCCTGAATATTTCTTGAGTGGCTACAAAACTAGCATATGTAGTTGAATTAAACATTCTGTTTTCTTCTGAAACTTTTCTTTTCTTGGATTTATCCATGGTTGGCCTACCGGGGGTTGAAAAACTGAACAAATCGTGTGCTGGCGGATGTCGCACATTTGTGGTTGTGACGCATATTTTGAGTGACAGGGAGCCGCAGCAGAGGGGTAAAAGAGCCACATGCGGCTCCAGAGCCATAGGTTGCTGACCCCTGCCTTAAACTGTGAAGAAACTGAGCTACAGTTTATGTTATAATATATCTGTCTTCTGTGACTTAAGACAATGGCTTGGATGGGTGACCACAATGCTATATGGGTTAGTTAGCTTATCAGTATAAAGCAAGATTATATCTCCAAATGGTTTTGTCTGATAACCACTATCAGTTAGACAGTTATCATTAAGTATATTCTATATTTAATTCCGTTACAGAATCATAGAATGGAAGAGTTGGAAGAAGTCTGGGGAAATCAAATTCACAATATGTACATAATTTCATTTCAGCAGATCTTAGAATTCATCTCAATTCTATTGCATGTCTACAGCAGGAAACCACTGGTTAAAGTATTAGATTTACACTAATTGATCTACCATTTCTGTATAGTATTATTGCTACTGCATTTGCAAATGTGAACTTTGGGATCAAAGTCAAAGCTTTTGGCAATCAAGACCGATGAATTCTACTCAAAATTCCGCACTTGGGTCTATTAACCAAGGATAGAAGCAAAAACACATTTATTTGTTTTATTTATTTACGGTATCTGAAAAGGCTCCAGAGTGGGACAGAGAGGGAAAAGTCCATTGATTACTTGGCAAAAGTCAGATTTCAGCTTTTGGCTCTTAAATACCTGACACGTAACTATACCCTTCTGACATAATGTCTAGTATAGTTTTTTAAATTATCCCATAATTTAATATGGAAAGTAATTCTTTTTAAAAAACAAAATAGCCATTCAGTGGATCTAAATTTCAGTAAGTGCCTCTTCTACAGTTGTGGAATTTCCTATTCCCTAAAATAACATAAGTGTCATTGTCGAGCCCAGCCACGGCTCGACACGCATTCCGGAGGGGGAAAGGCTTGAACATACGTCCCCCAAACCTGAGCTCTCAGGGAAGTGGCTAGCACCGGCCGTGTTAGAGAGTGGTGGCGGGATACCGGTTCATTTGGTGGTGGTGGTGATCGTCTCGGGATGTGTTTAGGCTGCGACATGGGATGGTATGTCAGGGGAGACACGGCTACGTTGGAGAAAGCGGTGGAGGATGAAGTGGCATGATCCAGGAAGCGCTGCAACTCGCCGAAACAGCTGAGACGCGCGACTGGAGGGCAGGGCAAACTGTTTAAAAGATGCTGAGAGGCGATAGCTCTCAGCGCTGACTTTGTGAAGTTCTTCCTCGATTTTTCCTGATACCCATTTGTTGCAAATTAAACATTGGTGATACATCCAGACCTGACTTTGTTTGGTGATTCAGCGTATTCCTGCATAAACGCGGATTAGAAAAGCTGAGAGTCATTTTAATTGCCAAAATTAAGTAGGCATAATATACTGTTTAACTAAACCTTTCTGAAAGCAGAACAGACAATCTTTGGATGAGATTCTTCCTACTCCTACACCACAATTCTTTCCCCCTCCAACCTCACCCAATAGAAGGTAACTCCAACCTGCTGCAGAAGGTTACTACTCTTTCCAGAACTGGACTGGAAACTTATCTCTACTTGTGCAACTTTGGATTGTATTTGTTTTATATGTATTTAAGTAATACTTTAGTCTGTCAGACCAGAAGCCATCTTTTACATTTGGGCCTTCTGGCTTGCCACATTTTCTACTGTGGGAAAATGGGAGGGGGGATTGCATAGAGTGTGGGTGATATATAATTGAAATAATATTCTTTTCTCAGAGAATCAAGGCCACCTTGCCCTGCAGCTGCGATGAGGTGACTGAGAGGCATCTCCAGTTTTGGATGGTGCCTGATTGGATCATGTGATGGATATGTGGATAATGGGCAGGGACTTAAACTTTCTTTTGGGTGGGAAAAACCTGGAAACTTTCAGATTTGGGTTTTCCCAGATGTGCCAATATGACATCTCTAATAAAGTGGAACTTTGAGGAAACTCAAGCCTCTGAGTCTTCTTTCGTTGAGGGCGTTATTTGGAACCCTGACATAGTCCTATCTACAAAACTGTCAAACTAATTGTACAAATGCAAAGGAGTTTTCTTCTATTCAGTATAAGTATCTCAGAATTCAGTGCTACTGGCTTATTGCCAATTGTTTATAAAATGCATAGCTTTAGACTTTGATTTCTTCTGATTTCTAAGTCTTCATTTTGCATAGCAATGCTGAAACTCCACGGAATCTTTGAAGCATTAGACTTTGCCACCCAGATCACTATTTGGAACCAGAATTGTGTTGTTGTTGTTGTTGTTTGTTTGTTTGTTTGTTTGTTTGTTTAAAAGTAGTCTTTTCAACTTCTTCATCCATTTCAAATCCTAAGGTGGGAGAGAACCTGAGTAAGACATAGGCCATTGGAATAGTATCATGTATTTACAGGATTATTTTTCTTGGCATGCGGTTAGGCTTTACATGCTATGTGGCTGAAACCAGATTAGCTTGTAGTGCTAAAGAATACTCAATAAGAATTTACTAGCCCTGACGAATCGTTGAATATGCTTACAAGTTTGTTATTTTAGTGTAATGATGCAAAATTCTACAGATTGTTCCAACACTCCTGTAGTATTCTCTATTTTAGAAAGAACAACTGTGAGCGCTTATTTTTAGAATTTGCTCAGCAGCTGCTTCCAAACGATGTCCACATTCCATGTGCTTCTCCAGTGTGTAGAAATATGTTGTGTCACACTGATCTAAAGCTTTGTGCAACCTTTCTCTATTTCAGCTTTGGTTTGCATTCGTTAATGGATTCTCTGGGCAGATTTTATTTGAGCGCTGGTGCATCGGGCTCTACAATGTGGTAAGTGTTCTCCGCCCTCCACTGGATAACAGGCCAAACTGGGGATGACATTCCAGCTAGGGCTGTTCACGTCTGTGTAGTTTACTCAGGGGTGGGTTCTAAAATTTTTTACTACTGGTTCTGTGGGCATAGCTTATTTTGTGGGCGTAGCTTGATGGTCATGTGACAATTATTTAGGATTTAGCAGAGGTACTGGACTACCAGGCTTTTAACTGCTTGCAGAGCAGTACCAATCTACCCATTTATTTTTTGCAGGCACTGGTCTACCCATTTATTCAAGAAAGCCTAATTCTTCCCCTAATCTGCCCCACTACAAAATGTCAATACAAATATTGAAACTTAAGAATCACTCAACACTATGCAAGCTTTAATTTAAACTTAAAATTGTTTTGATTGAATACGTGCCACCTTGTTGGTGTCAACATAGATAGATTTGCTTCATGACAGTCGGTCTGTCAGCTAGTATTTCAGATCTTCCAATGGTGCACTCATCACCATCAGTGGTGCAGTGGTTAAGAATGCAGTACTGCAGGCTATTTCTGCTGCCTGCTGGCTGCCTGCAGTTCGGCAGTTCGATTCTCACTGGCTCACTCAGCCTTCCATCCTTCTGAGGTGAGTAAAATGAGAATCCAGATTGTTGGGGGCAATATGCTGACTCTGTAAACCACTTAGCCCACTTTAGGGCTGTAAAGCACTGTGAAGCGGTATATAAGTCTAAGTCAGGGGTGGAATCCAGCAGGTTCTGACAGGTTCTGGAGAACCAATAGCGGAAATTTTGAGTAGTTTGGAGAACCGGCAAATACAACCTCTGGCTGGCCCCAAAGTGGGGTGGGAATGGAGATTTTGCAATATCCTTCCCCTGGAATGGGGTGGGAATGGGGATTTTGTAGTATCCTTCCCCTGCCATGCCCACCAAGCCACGCCCACCAAGCCACACCATGCTCATCAAGCCACGCCCACAGAACCGGTAGTAAAAAAAAATTGGATTTCACCACTGGTCTAAGTGCTATTACTATTGCTATCACTACTATAAGTGAGCCCATCCACTTTGCTGCTGGACATTCTCTTCTTCTGTTTCCTTCCCTCTTTCAAGCATTATAGACTTCTCTAGAGACCTAGGTCTGATGTATAATACAGTATAAGTATGAAGTGTGATAATCTGAGCTTCATAAATTGCACCTCAAGTGAAAAAAAATCTGGTTGATTTGTCTGCTGATCCATTTGATTTCTTACTATATATAAAATTTCAAATCATTCATTCATTCATTCATTCATTCATTCATTCATTCATTTGCTGTAACTAATCTTCATATCCATTATCCAAGGATGCACCACATGCACAGAATGCACATACTGGATTTTACTGTCAGCATCCAGGAAGCATTAATGTACTCCTATCTTTACATAAATGCCAGTATAAATATTCAACCTAAAAGATCCTGCATGCACAGTTTTAAAAGCACATATTACATTTTTCCACCAATGTCAAGGAAGCAGAACCTTAATCCTAACCTTTTAGAAATGCCATTTTAAATATTTAACACAATGCTCTCTCCACACTCAGCCTTCATCCCATGTAAATATAAGGCTATAACTAACTATATATATTTAAAAAACCTGTTCTGGATCAGAATAGCAGCTATTAAATATTCTTCAAGAAAGCTGAACCTTAACACTAACTTCTACAGAATACCAAAATTCAATCTTTAAATCATCATATACCAATTCTGAATCGTAATTTAGTTGAAAAATTATCACTAGTATTAAAAAGATTCCTTGGTTTCAAAAATATGTTAAGCTATGATATCTTGGGAAATACTATACAACTATTAAGGGATCTTGAAAAAGCCAAATCCTGACCTAACCTACTCAGAATGACAATACAAAAATTAACTTAAAATGTAGAGTACTACTATGCATACAAAAATTACTCTGGGTGTAAGTAGCTTAATCCTAAATGTAATCTCCCCAAATGCCAGTATAAATGTTGAGCCATAAAAATATTTCCATATTCAATCTGAACACTAATTTACAGCTGAGACTGCTACTAAACACAAGAATACTCACTAACTGAAATGTAAGGTCCCAAAATGTACTTGAGTCACCAGAATGCCAAAGAGAGAGACTCAAGAAGAGGCTTGGAAAAATATCAGCTTTAATTTGTACAAAGAAGAGCTGGGTAGACCATAACACTACATACAGACAAAGAGCATGCAGTGATAGGTCACACCTTGGAGAAGGTATGGGGTCCTTTTATACCTTCAGAGACATCAGCTTAGTACCCATTTCTGGCCCCCTGGCCCATGCCTTCCTTGATGCCCTGCATTGGCCATGCAGGAAGGTATAGGGGGGGGTTGAGTGCTTAGCAACAGAGGAGCTGGGTGCTTAGCAACACGGGTACCAGGCATGGAGTTTTACAGAAAAACAAGATAGCAGAAGTTAGATCACTGGTAGAAGCAAATGGCAGAGGCAGTACCAATTCTTAGCAAAGCAATTCTTACAGAAGCAAAACAGCAAGTCAAACATTTCTACTGACTCTACTATTATGTCCCACCTATTCTACTATTATTATGTCCCTTCACTAACATATAGATTAAATATAACTATAAAATTCAAGCACACATGAATGCATGAATGTTTATCATATTTTCAAAATTGCTTATCACCCGCACAGAAGGATTCTGAAAATATATTAAATTTTTGTAATTCATTTCATAAATTTTATTACTCTCTTCTTTGCTTTTGCTTCCTATGAACCCAAACTATTTGTCCACTTGTCTGGAAATTATTAACAGGCAGACTGTAAATGAATTAATTTAATATGTATTGTTTATAAAACAATTTCCCTAGAAGTGGACTATAAGTAGTCCTCAATTTATGACTGTAATTGAATCCAGAATGACAGTTGTAAGTGCGGTAGTCGTTAAATGGGTTACCACATGACCACGTCCAATTTTACAACTTTTTATTGCAGCAGTTGTTAAGTATATGCAGTGGTTGTTACACAAGTCCATTTTCTCCATTGGGCATTTTTTGCTAGAAACTAGAAGTAAAAAAGCAGAAAATAGCAAAGACTGCCAAAAATCACAGTCTTATGACCATGAGATGCTGCAAATGGCCATAAATGGAAGGCAGTTGCCAAGATTCCAAAGTGCAAAAGAGAAGGCAAATGTTAGAACTTTGAAAACAGATCATATGTAGCTCTGTGGAGGTCTGCTGTAACTACAAATGGTTGCTAAGCAACTGTTATTAATTAAGAACTACCTGTCATGAAAAGAACTGAGAATAGAATAGAATAACAAAGTTGGAAGGGACCTTGGAGGTCTTCTAGTCCAACCCCTTGCTCAGGCAGGAAACCGTATACCACTTCAGACAAATGGTTATCCAATCTCTTCTTAAAAACTTCCAGTGTTGGAGCATTTACAACTTCTGGAGGCAAGTTGTTCCACTGATTAATTGTTCTAAACGTCAGGAAATTCCTCCTTAGTTCTAGGTTGCTTCTCTCCTTGATTAGTTTCCACCCATTGCTTCTTGTCCTGTCCTCAGGTGCTTTGGAGGATAGCTTGACTTCCTCTTCTTTGTGGCAACCCCTGATATTGGAACACGGTTATCATGACTCCCCTAGTCCTTCTTTTAATTTAACTAGACATACCCAGTTCTTGCAACCGTTCTTCATATGTTTTAGCCTCCAGTCCCCTAATCATCTTTGTTGATCTCCTCTGCACTCTTTCTAGAGTCTCCACATCTTTTTTACATTGTGGTGACCAAAACTGAGGAGACAGTCTTTACTCAGTTGCTATAGATTAGCCTTGAACATTTTATATTATTTCAAAATACACAATAGCAGTAATCAATCTAGGCTGTTAAAGGTAACTTCAAATAGGGGTTCCCAACTCCTAGGCCTCAGACTGGTACCGGTCCATGGCCTGTTAGAAACCAGGCCACTCAAGCAGCAGGCAAGTGAGTGAAGCCTCATCAGCGCATGGCCGAGATCTAGGTTGTGCACAAAATCACCCCACACACACATTGGCCCATAGAAAAATTGTCTTCAACAAAACCCGTCCCTGGTGCCAGAAAGATTGGTGACCGCTGGCTTAAGGTGTATTCTGAATTGCCTTTAAAAGCTGTTGATTCAGAGGCCTCTTTTTTATTTTTTTCATTGAATGGAAGTCTAGGGACTCTTTCCTTCAGTCCGCTGCAGCCTTCTGCTTTGCTGTCCAGCACATATGATAAAAACTTGTCTGCTTTGGGCATCTAATTTAGATTCAGCACAACTGAATTTAGTAAAGCTGTTGGTGTGGATTTTAATAATGCCGGGATTCTTTCCAGGTATGACGTATACTTTTCAACTTGTTTATAAAGTTAATGGTCTGTTATTTTTAATTACTGCCTTTGTTTTTTCTAGATTTTCACAGCATTACCTCCCTTCACCTTGGGAATCTTTGAACGATCGTGCTCCCAGGACAACATGCTTAGGTTTCCCCAGCTCTACAAAATTACTCAAAATGCTGATGGGTTCAATAGCAGGGTAAGAGGCAATGTTTACTTAGAGGGAAGGATTAAATACAACTGGGCTATATGAGCTTAAAGCTGAAATTTTAATTTACAGCTGCTATTTCAGATTGAACACCCTGAAATGATTAATCCTTAGTGTTCATCCTTAATAAATGCTAGGTCTGGTAGTGGTAGTAAATCAGCTTCCAACTGTGAATGGTGATCATGGCACAATCAATTGTGGTTTATCTAAAATGAAAGTAGATATTTATGATCTCCTCACAGCCCTAACAGAAAAGAAGGTCTGCGTGGTGGAAAGAAAAACCATGTTTATGTTTTTTATGGTTTATGGGAATTCGGATTATGGGGGAAGATTACATGCAAAACAACACTATCAGAAAACACTAATATAATTATATTATATAATTATATATAATTATATATACCCAGTAAAGAGTAAGAATTAAAAGGCTGTTTTAAAAGAATTAAATAGACAAAAAGATATCATTATAGCTAAATGTTTTTGGTCCCAAAATATTAATTGAGTAGAAGTTAGTAAAACCTCTTGGGGAAAGATAATGCTGCACCATCAGTGAAAATGGATTGGGACAACTCGCCATGGCCAACTTGCCATAGGACAACTCCCCACAGGACAATTCAATACATACAAAAGTTAAATTAATTTCAGTGGAACTGTGGCCAATAATAATAAAATAAAGAAGTCAATCCAGAAATACAAGAGTTAAAATAATTTTGATGTAAACATGGACACCAATAATAAAAGTAACTGAATGAAATTACTAATACAGCATTGACAAAAAAGCTCTACAGAGAATCATTAAAACTGCCCAGAATATCATTGGGCTCCAGCTACCAGCCCTGGACGACATCTTCGAATCTCGCTGTTTGAGGAAGTTGCATAACATTCTCAGAGACTCTTCCCATCCTGCTTACAATCTTTTTGGACTGTTGCCTTCTGGCAGAAGATACAGAACAATTAAAACTCGGACACCATGTTTTCTGAATAGTTTTTATCCTTGAGCTATAATTGCACTCAACCATGAACTAAAGGGCTACCATCAGTGAGCTGTTGGACAGCATTACTTGGTCTGTGGTGTGGATGTTTGGGTGGTTTAGGGGTGGGGAATTGTGGTGGGTGGGAGTGTGTTTGGGGATTGTTATGTGTGTTGGACCTAGTCTTTGGTGTTAAGTGAATTTCGTTGTATGGGTATACTGTGTATACACGTACAATGATAATAAAGTTATTATTATTAAATTATCCCACGACGATTTTTTTCCAAGGCGAGTTGTCCATGGCAAGTTGTCTGTGGCTAGTGGGTTGTGGCAAGTGGGCCATAGCGAGTTGGCTATGGTGAGTTATCCTAGACCCCACTGAAAAGGCCTCTTCCTCATAAACGTCTACATTTTGCAGAGGGGGTAGTTGCAAAAAAAAAAAAAAAACCAACCCCAGCTAAAAATCTTAATGGATACAGGTTAACAATCCAAGTTCCATATCATTAGCTATGAAAGACTGTCAAATGTCAGAAACAACACAATTGTAACATTCTATACTGACATTTCTATCTGGAAATTCCAAATGATCTCACATTACCAACAAAGCCATAATAAAAGACAATCAATGTCATCAAGCATTACATTGAGCAAGACCACGTTAACAGATAACTCATGTTAAAATCCAGTACACTACTCCCTGGTCAGCACTGTCATTGTTTGTGTTCCCAAAATAAGAAATTCTCAAATTCATGTAGACACCTCCATTTAAGAATAGGTTGAGCTTCCTTGTAGCGAGGAAATGCAATTTATATATTCATGGTTATATCTTTCTTATTCTTAAAGGCAGCTCAATCCTAGGAATAGGTACAAAATTTATGGTAGCGTTTAGAATAATTTAAGCTTTGAATATTAACTTCTAAGAGCTGGTTCTCATTATCTTTTGAGCCACAGCAACTAGACTGTCTACAACATTGGCAGTATTTTGGCATCCAGCTGCAACAGGGTATAAAAAAATGTCTGCTTCATTTAGTATGTTGAATTGGCAGGAGTTCTGCTTGCTAATTCCTTCCAAAGCATGATGACTCTCACTGGGTGAAATCCCCACTTCCCTGCTGTAAGTTGAAAAGGTCAGGCGTAGGTTTCCAAATTGGAATATTAACCATATACATTTATAAGAGTTTCTACGCTTGCATATGAATTAATCAATATCACTGTGTGTTCTTTGCAACAAGTTCCAACTGATCTGGTATTTGGCGATGAAATGTTCCCACACTTTTACCTGTTGCCTTTTCACCACTTCCTCTCCAGAGATTCAAGGAAAAATATTGAGATGACTTTATTGTTCCCTTCAGGTTATAGGTTTAAAAAGATGTTTCAGGGAGATACGCAGGTAAAGTTACACTTAATATTTTCTTTTCATATTTCAGAGAATTTCCTCCATTCTCAGTTTTCATGTTTTATTAACCTACTCTATCTAATAAAACTTCAGCAGTTCAGAGCTTAAAGGACAGAAAAGGTCTAAGATGGTGCTGGAGGTTTAAGATTTAAAAAAATTGCATTTTTTTCATGTGGGATCTTAATGAACTTAAAAATAGCATAATTAACTATGAGGACTGGATTTTGTTGTTTTGCATGTATCTTTCCGTCACCATAGTATTACAGAAATAAAGAGTAATTTGAGTTTTGCTGAATATCTGAATTAGTTGCCTGGTCACTTTATTTTTACATAGCAATGTTTGTTTTAGAATGTATTCAAAAAATCAAATGACAGTGATCAATGTGATTAAAAATATTTCTGAATGTGGTGAATGACATTCAAACCTCAGCAAATTTAGGAAATAAAATTTTCATCACTGCAACAAGGTAAAATCTAAGTTGTTTCTCTCCCTAGATTTCAAGGGAACGTTTGCTTGAATTATAAAGCATATGGCAGTTTCTGAGAAGGAATGGTTGTCAGAACGTGAGGATAAATAAAAGAATTAAATGAAACACAAAAGAGAGAGAAGGGAGATGGAAGGGAACAAGAACAAATGTTTTCTGCTATTTTTACAGTATTATTTCAGGAAGTGGTCTCTCCAAACACTGCCCTCCTGGTGTGGAAAGGGAAAAGAAAAAATACCCATCCTACAATTCAGAAGTTCAGTGGTTCGAATCCCTAGTGCCATGTAACGGGGCAAGCCCCCGTTACTTGTCCCAGCTTCTGTCAACCTAACAATTCGAAAGCATGTAAAAAATGCAAAATAGGGATCACCTTTGGTGGGAAAGTAATACTGTTCCGTGCGCCTTTGGCGTTAAGTCATGCTGGCCACATGATCATGGGGACGTCTTCGGACAGCACTGGCTCTTTGGCTTTGAAACGGAGATGAGTACCGCCCCCTAGAGTCAGGAACGAATATGTGTGAGGGGAACCTTTACCTTTACCTTACAATTACCAGCTCACACAAAAAGTTCATGAATGAGTCAAATATTTGAACATGTCAGGGGAAAGTTGAAAATCCAACTCTACTTCTAATAATATAATAACCCTGCAAAGTTTTCTGCAGCCTTTGACTCCCCAAGAAAAAATCATTTAAAAAAGGATGATTTGTACTCCAAAAAGGTTCCCAAACTCTAGACTGGTGCTACTAAGATGAATATTTAGATTATCTGGAGCCTTTTGGGAACTGCCTAGAGTTCCCTGTGTTAATTATATGACTAACCCCCCCCCCCACTATTAATTGCATTCATATATTTAATGCTAAATTTATTCAGTGTCAAATTTTCATGGTTTCCTTGGCTGATTTATATGAACAAATACCCAGACACAAGAAAGAATAGAAAATGGATACTTGAGATACGGTTTTCCTCCACATAAAATTCCGTTTCAGGAAACACAAAGGTATACTTCATTATAGTGTTTGGATTGATACATATAAAAACATTTTGTAAAAAAAATCTAACACTTAGATGGCTTTGCTGCATAAATTTTTCAAAACTTAACAAAGATAGGGGTGTCTTTGTGTGGATTTAGTCCTGTTGAATTTTCCTTCTGTTTTTGTTTTTTTATTTGCCCTTGTCTCTGTGTGTGTGGTAGCACGCCAGCTTTTGCAATGAAAGAAAACACTTTCTACTAAAAATTGTTCACTCATTTGATGGAACTTAATGAATCGTTTGAAGAGACATGTTGGAGAGTTTGATCGCTCTCCTGACCTTCTTGTTTGTTTTTCCTTTAGGTATTCTGGGGTCACTGCATCAATGCCTTGATCCACTCCGTCATTCTTTTTTGGTTTCCCCTGAAAGCACTAGAACATGGTAAATAAATGCATTGTTCTTTCCCATATGTTAACGAAGTAATATTCCATCTTTCTAAGCCAGCACCTTTACACTTGGGGTCAAAACATGTTCCTTGGGACTTAATCATTGCAGACAGACCAACAGCTTTCTAACATTTATCAGCAATGATCTTCCAAGTCCTCCCTTTCTGCATGCCATCTTTCATAGATAGCAATTCACATCCATTGTAAATCACAATGTCCATTGGTGAAGCTATGTTTATTTAAAATTGATTTATACATTAAAAAGAAGCAAGTACATTGGTGTTATGCAGCTTCCCTAACTGTATGTCTTATCATTTGGTTTAGATTAATGAAAAGAGGAACCTGACCAAATATTTACTTACCTGACCTGATAATTTAAAGAGAATCATTTTTTCTGTGAGATGGCTCCTGCCCAACTTTGTTTTTCAAAAGTTCTGCTGATTCTGCTGCATTAGGGGCATCCGATCCAGGCTGCAAAAATCAAGATAACGATAGAAGCAAAAAGTTAGAGTTTGTTTGTTTTCCGGGTTTTATAATAGCAATCACCAAATTCATACTAGATCAAAGCCTACTTAATTTAAATTTAAAATGCCAACTTCAAAATCACTTCAGAAGATTTAAATTGGAATTGGTAAAGATTTTTATAAACTATTTCCACATGAAAATGCCAAATTGCTGTTGTTACTTAAACAGAAGGGATGAGAGAATTTCTATCTGTATTTGAAGAAATCCTTTAACTGTTGAAATGAAAACTGTCATTCACTTATATACCATATCAGGGTATGTCCTTTAAACAGCTCTGCAATGAATAGAGACTTTGGCAGCCTTAGAAATGCATGTTTGCAATATGTCTTTACCATCTCTGTCAATTGTTAGGAGTTGGTTCAGGAGAAATCTTTGCAAAATCATGGGATACTAGAAACACAGGACCATACAGTATGTCAGGGTAAAATATATAAACAAAGCAATGACATTGATGTGACTATCAATATATAAGTATCAGAATATAATTGATTGTTCCACAATACTTTCACAAGTATTCTCATCCCTGAAATTCCCAGTATGTCTCCAATGCTCAGTAAATCTCACCCAATGTAATGGTATGTGAGAAAGACAGGAAGAAGGGCAGCAATCTAGACAGCACGCTGATCATGAACTCTGAATCCAAAGGAGAATTTCAAAAGGAATCCTTGCTAATTTTAGGGAGAATTAAATTAAGGAGGAGAAAGATATTTTCGCACTTACAAGATTTTCTTATTGGAATCTTACCCTAAAGAAAGTTATTCTTTTCTGGACTACCTCAAAGGGCTGACACCTTTTTGACCTCTGCTTTGACCTCAATGTGAAGTTTGTAAAATGTTTCAGCAGCTTTCAAGAGAAAGGAGACAAAGTGGGCATTCAGTTTCTTCATTCAAACAAGAAAGAACAGAAGAATTGTATGTTCCATAAAACCTGTTCCAGATCTACTGAGTAACCAGACATTTGGACTTCTTGCAATATGCCAGAGTTGGCTTGCTGTCTTTACCATGTATTGTAGATACTAATAGGCAGAAGACAGCCAGTGGTTAGGTAGTGGTTAGGCTCGAAATCCAGAGATGAGTTCTAGCCCACTTTAGATATGAAGCCAGCAGAGTGACTTTCTTCTTGTTGTGCCATATCCATCATCGAATGTTGGTGGTCCTATTTTTATCAGCAGCTGCACAAAAAAGTGCTGTTGAGTTTTGTCCAAACCAGTCCCTTAGGTTTTGAACCCATGATGTTCTTCTCCTGCCTGGACCTCATTTGCCTTCAATCTTTCCTTGGAGGATTAAGTGAAGTATGCCGTATTTTTCTGGGTGTCGCATCACCTGTCCAAAATCTTCTAAGTTTTGCTTTTTTATGGTTTTGATGATTTCCCTTGGCTTTCCCAGAGTGACTTTGGGCCAATCAAACTCTCTCAGCCTTAGAAGAAGGCAATGGCAAACCACTTCTAAATTGCAGGGATTTGTCCAGGCAGTTACCAGGAGTCAGGACTGACTTGTTAACAAGGTGATAAAACCATCCTATGCCACCTTTAATGTTGCCCCAGTGGCTAGCTATTGGCACAAAGATTTGCTGCAACAGTAGACTATCACTTGGGCTGGATACAAATATGTCTAATCTTATTCTGGGAGAGTAATAGACATGTGTCAATCCCAGATTAATTAGGGGGAATTAGGATTGGAAAGCAGTACTCTGTTCTTCACCCTCTTCCCAGATGCCTGTTTTGATATACTGCTATGAAGATCAAAAGCAGGTTTGCTATGAAAACTGATGGCTACCAATGCTCCTGTACATTCAAAGAAGATTAGTATAAAACATGATTTTAAGGTTTTTTTGCTGCTGCTGCTGCCTTTCTGTTTTAAAAAGAACCTTTTACTTTTACAGGAAGGCCTAATATTCTCTCTAGTGCTTTTTTCACCAGAGAGATAACACATTTTAATAAGTAGCATGTGTAGTATCTGATTTGAGTTTTGGACGGCACCAGCTAGGCATTATACCTTCAGAAGCCAAGTGTCATAACTGTCAGTATCCCAAGCCAAAACGGCCACAAAAGTTTGTGTGGAATGATCAGAAGGGAGAGGATGGATATGCTGCAGCCAAAAGTCATCAAGAAATGTTGGGCTGATTCCAGCCTCTGATTACATCATTATCGTAGTCACCAGAAATATTAAATTACCAGAAATCATGCATAGGGCAAAGCTTGTATGGGAGAGAGGAAAATACAACTTTAACACTTGGATTAGTTAAATATGAAAATAGGTGGTCGACTAATTCCAGGAATAAAATGAAGACAGTGTCATGAGGTGAAGTCCATAAAGAATAATCAGCAAGATTTAACTTCATGTCTATTAAGAAGACATGTAGAATCTTTTGCTAAACTTAGTTTCTTGTGCAAAAGTTTTCTTGATCTCAGCTTCATTTATAGGATAAACCCCACATAGTTTTTGTGCCCACTGTGAATGTGTAATAACTTTTATGCTGTTTTTACTTTATTTTTATATTTTAACGAACTATCTGTAATTCAGATCTGGGATCACAGTTAAAATTCTGTTCTACTTTGCAGAGGCTTTTTTACCTGCTAAAGCTCTGTATGTTATATAATTTAAAATTCTATGTTATATCATTACTGATTTAAATCAAGCAAAATATTCAAATTAGGTTAGTGATATAGTGTCCTCCCCAATTCAAGTATGTAACTTACAATTTCAGGCCATAAGTGACTAGTCAATCCTTAGATCTCTCTCGCCTACATTGATGTATACTTCTTGAGCTGCCATATTGGAACTGATTAATCTTTATGGTTGGATGATTTTTCTGGATTGTAACCCAATTGAACAAATATGGGAATATCTATTACAGCAATACATATTTTCTTTTTTTCCAAAATATCTTATTCCTTTATCCAGGAGAAGTAAATATGGTGATGACAGAACCATTGCTAAGTTTGTTATTTTGATATGATTAATTGACATACTGTAGGATTTTTACACAATTCTACAGAGGGATTGGATGTCAGATTTGGACGTCAGTCATTTAGTCATTAAAGTCACTGGGTACTTTAAAGATATCTAAACTTGTGTTAAACAAGAAAGTTTTTTGAATGTATCATTTGGATGCAAAATTATTTTTAAAACAAGGGAAATCAAACAAAAATAAACATAACAGGAAAATCTGGCTGTAGTACAGAGGCACCAAGATGATGTGGTAACTAGAAGTTTTCATCTCTGATCTTTGATTATTATCATCATTGACCCTTTACCTTGATTATTAGTTCTTGGCAGAAATTTTTGGTCTTTTCAATTCTTGAAAGAGAATTTTGTGGTTGAAGATGTATGTATATTATTTTTAACTTGTGGTTCAGCGTAAGCTACTTGTTATATTGTTTGTTTTCAGTGTTTTATTTAAAGAGCTCTAAAAAAAAACCTGTTGTGCAAATTTCAGCACGGATAATTGTCTAAAAGCTTGTCAAGAATGAACATATTATGGACTCTTTCTGAATGTCTCCTTTTGATTACCTTCTATATTTTCAGAAAAATGACATTTGCTGCACAAATTAAATATAATAAACATGATGCATTCCTCTGTTCTTTATGCTAGGCCTCCTGTTTTGTTTTAAGATATTTGAGCATGGAATTTAAGTTAAGTGATACTCTATATCAACTTGATTACATTGGACTTGATGGGACCTACTTTTGAGTAGCTACATATACTTTATTTGCATTTTCATTTATTATATTTGAAATTTTTTCATTTATTTGCAAATCTTATTTTATATAGCCTATATATGAGAAAAATCCTTTACTGAACAAGGTATCTATTTTTTAAAATTATTTATTGTAGATACAGTATTTACAAATGGCCAGGCTGTTGACTACCTGTTTGTTGGAAATATTGTTTATACGGTAAGCTAATGCATAAAAAATGAAATATTACCTATTGTAAGATTTCAATTATGGATGTATTTTGGTGATGGAATGTGTCTACAAAGGGGGATAAAGTATGAAGTGGCAATTTCCTAGGAAGGAGGGAGCAGATTCCAAGAAGGGGTGTGTGTGTGTATGTGTGTAACACAGGAGACAACACAATCCAAAGCTGGATCAGAGATTTAGGATAACCACTCCCTAGAATCTCCCAGGGTCAGTGGTGGGTTCCGCCCAGTTCCGCCGAGCCGGTAGCAGTGACGATATGACGTCACTTACCCGGTTCTGCCCACCCCTACCCCCTGACCCCCCCGACCCACCCACCTACCCCCCGCGTTATTCTTACCTTTTATTTGGCCCCACCCCCAATCTATTGCTGCCTCCTGAGTCCCAGCTGATGGCTAGAGGGAAAATAACTGTTTAAACTCTTGCCGCGGAGCTTCAAAGGGCCGCCCTACAGCTGATCAGTGTTAAAAGAAAACAAATGAGTAGACTGGTGCCTGCAAAAATAAATGGGTAGACCAGTGCCTGCAAAAATACATGAGTAGATCAGTGCCTGCAAAAATACATGAGTAGACCAGTGCCTTCAGTGCCTGCAAAAATACATGGGTAGATCAGTGCCTGCAAAAATACATGAGTAGACCAGTACCTGCAAAAATAAATGGGTAGATCAGTACAGCCTGGTAGACCAGTACCTCTGCTAAATCCTAAATAATTGTCACATGACCATCAAACCACACCCACAAAATAAGCGACGCCCACAGAACCGGTAGTAAAAAAATTTAGAACCCACCCCTGCCCAGGGTATATCTGTTAGGGTGAGAATAATACAGGTGGTCCTAGACTTACAACAGTTCATTTACTGACCATTCGAAGTTACAATGACACTGAAAAAAGTGACTTATGACTATTTTTCAAACTTGACCCTTTCAGCATCCCCATGGTCATGTTTACATTCAGATACTTAACAATAACAATACATAACAACTATGACCATTGCAGTGTCCCAGGTCATGTGATTACCTTTTGTGACCTTCTGACAAGCAAAACCAATGGGAAAGCCAAATTCACTTAACAACAGTGTTACTAATTTAACAACTGCTGTGATTCGCTTAACAAATGTGGCAAGAAGTCATAAAATGGGGCAAAACTCACTTAACAAATTTCTCACTTAGCAACATAAATTTTGGACTTAGTTCTGATTGAAAGTGAGGACTATTGTATATGTTTATTCTGGCAAGATTCTGTCTATTTGCCATTAGCAAATAGACTCTATAGAGAACTGAAATTTGGCTGAATTGTTCTATGCCATTCTTGGGCAAAATCTGACAATTTCCTATGGTTGGGCATAATAAATAAGTAAATAAATAGTGTAGAATGTACTTAGGTTTGCCAGTATTACGCCATAGAAAGTTGTGTGTGTTGAATTTCTCAAACTGGGCAGCTATTAAAAGATAAGGAATTTTGCCCAAGGAAGTTATGGCAACTTGTTGGAAGGTAATTGACACTGGGGGCATTGAAGAAGAGATTTGGGTTTAGGTCTGTTGGGAATATATGAGAATTTATATTCAGATATTTCTGATTCATGATTGGGTGAATTATTCTGGTTCTTATCATAGTTCCAATATATCAAGTCCTGGAATTCCCAGAAGCCCTAGTAGAAACCACCCACATACCATGTCATATGGCTATAAAAGTCCAGGAATATATAGAAATAATTTATTCTGATTCTATTAGGTCTATCATAAAGCGTGTTAAGGGTTGCGGTGGCTCAGTGGCTAAGATGCTGAGCTTGTCGATTGAAAGGTTGGCAGTTCAGCGGTTCGAATCCCTAGTGCCATGTAACAGGGTGAGCTCCCGTTACTTGTCCCAGCTTTTGCCAACCTAGCAGTTTGAAAGCACATAAAAAATGCAAGTAGAAAAATAGGGACCACCTTTGATGGGAAGGTAACAGCGTTCCGTGCCCCTTTGGCATTTAGTCATGCTGGCCACATGACCACGGAGCTGGCTCTTTGGCTTTGAAACGGAGATGAGCACCGCTCCCTAGAGTCAGAAATGACTAGCACTTATGTGCGAGGGGAACCTTTATCTTTACCTAAAGCATGTTGAGCATGTAGTTGTGCTGTATAATAGCTAGTTAGTAATTGTTAGATCCTACAATGAGGACACAGGCATGGGAATATGTGTGTATGTGTATCTCTTCCTATCATTTCTGAATTTCTGTAATTCTGAAATGTGCTAAATATTTCATTTAGCAAAAAAATGATATTTAATTTCTAATGTTTAGACCATGTCTTTGCAATGTAGTATACCTTTTACTCAAAGAGAAACAAGAGAACAACTGTGAATGGGAAATACATGCTGAAATTCAAATTTGTCTTCTACTTTTTTTTATTGCAGTATGTTGTGGTGACAGTCTGTTTGAAAGCTGGTTTAGAAACCACAGCATGGACAAAGGTGAGTATAAATATTATAAATAGTAGTAGGAATTTCAAATTCGTTTTTGCTGTCTAAAATTGAACTGCAATTTTATCTAGAAGAAAAAAAATCATCAATTCACTTTCGGAATTCACACTTAAAGTAACATGTGAGGATAAAGATGTAGCCTTTAGATAGGGATGTAGACAGTCCCTGGGGGCTCATAGGCATTTGAAGAATTTCACAGATAGCTATGATTCAGTAAAAACACCATGAGTATTAATAACACTTTCCATAGTTTGTATTTGGCAATTAAAAAGGGAAAGATATAGATCACAGAAGTCACAAGTTGAATTGCTCTGCCTGAAAACGGTCTTCCTTGGAAAGTAAATGAAAGAAGAGGCCTCCAGCTCATTTATTTATTTATTTAGTTATTGGTTCGATTTATATGCCGCCCTTCTCCGGAGACTCAGGGCGGCTTACAATGCGTTAAGCAATAGCCTTCATACTTTTGTATATACCTGCTTAGTAGGGCTTTCGGCCCCGCCTAATAGGTCTTCTTTTATATACAAAGTCAGCTTATTGCCCCCACAATCCGCATGCATGATAACTTTCCCCCTCCCCACATGCAATGTATTTATCTTACCAAACACCCAAAACTCTGGAATCCTAGATTATAGCAGTAATTGAAAAATGGTTAGTATATTTATAGCTGGGAAATAGAATCTTCTATCCTTGGTCAATTATCTATGACTGTGTCTCTTTTAAAAATCCTCTCAACTGCAATTCCCATCAGTCCCAGCTAGCATAACCAATGGCAATACTAGCTGGAGATGACAAGATTAGGATTGTTGGTTTTATGAGGTACCGATCCTGGGAAGACTGGGAAAAAAACATACCAGAATAACAACTGTTATAAAAGTTTCCTTTTTAAAGAACTTGCTTTCATAGTTTATAGAATCATAAAATCACAGGATTGGAAGAGACCTTGCAGTTCTTTTGGTCCAACTCTCTGCCCAAGGCAGAAATCCTCAGGCCAACCCAGACAAATTGCTGTCCAGTCTTGTTTGAAGACTTCCAGTGACATAGCACACAAAATTCCAGGAGGCAAGTTATTCCATTGCTTGAAAGTTCTCAAAAAATGCATTTCTCTCTGTTAAGTTCCCACCCATTGGTTCTTGTCCTATTCTCAGTGCTCTGGAGAAAAACTCTATACCAGGGGTGTTAAACTCGTGGCCCATGGGCCGGATGCGTCATGTGCTGGCCACACCCACGCCCAGTTTAGCGAAGGGGGGAAAGTCGCGATATGTCAAGTGACGACGCAAGTTTGACACGCCTGCTCTATATCCTCTGTCCTGTGACAGCCCTTCAAATATTGGAAGACCACTATCAGGTTTCTCTTTAGTTTCCCCTTTTTTAGGCTAAATACATCTAGTTCTTTAAACTGTTCTTTTTAGCATTTACCATCCAGGTCCTCTCTGTTGCTTGTCTGCACTTGGGATCAAGTTGAGATGTTTACTGTCTTGTTTTATTTTATTATAGTTTGCTTGTCAAACTATTTTCATAAAAGATTGTTCTACTGATTTTAATATTCTACTGTTGAGTCCTTTGGGAGGCAGAGTATGCTTGCCATTATCTATGGATGGAAAACAGATCACTGTCAAAAACAAAAATAAAAGATCACAAGTTAATATGCTGGAGCTGAATTCGGTACTTACAGTATGTGGAAACTTAAATCCTTCACTGAGAACATACATATCTTTTTCATCTCCATCTCATTCCCAAACTTTCAATCTTCATCTAAATCTACAGTTGACTGAATAATATGAATATACATCTTATTGCAATACTGAGACACGTTTCAGTTTTATTAATTATTATAGCTAGGAATTGTTTTATTTTTCACAATATTTACATGTATCATTACATTTTTTATAAGATAGATGAAACCAGATTTTGAAATGTTTTCTGCTATAGATATTTTGTAAATATGCTATGTTTCGGGAATCATTTAAAGCATATATGATATTCATGATAGTAATGGAAAGAAGAATCATGGAAGAATAATAAAAAAAATCTAAATAAAAATATTTGGAAAATAATATTTATTAACATTTAAAAACATAAGGAAGATAAGCCCCACTGGAAAGATACAGTTGCTTCAGTTAATCTGGAATTTGAACTTAATATGGAATACTCACTGCATCTTATTAAAGGAAGGTATTGAGACCGAAATAGAAGGTCATGGTAAATTACTGACCTTTTGATGAAAATAGTGCCAATAGCTTAATATTCTGTAAAATGTATAAGGAATATGAATGAATAAAACATCATTATTTTGCTTTTATATTTTATAGCTTAATTTAAAAATTCATGGAAGGAGAAATTAATATTTTAAAAATAATCTAGATTTTCTGAAAATCACACATGAACATGTAGCATACTTTTATTTTTACTTTTTTTCTTCTTCTATCACTCAAAGGGACATGGTAGCTCAATAGCTAAGATGCTATTGAGAAGGTCAGCAGTTCAGTGGTTCGAATACCTAGCACCACAGAGCGGAGTGAGCTCCCGTTATTTGTCCCAGCTTCTGCCAACCTAGCAGTTCGAAAGCATGTAAAAAATGTAGAAAAAGTAGAAAAATAGGAACCACTTTGGTGGGAAGGTAACAGCACTCCGTACATCTTCAGTGTTTAGTCATGCCGGCCACATGACCATGGAGACGTCTTTGGACAGCGCTGGCTCTTCAGCTTTGAAACGGAGATGAGCACCACTCCTAGAGCCGGAAACAACTAGCATGCATGTTTGGGGGAACCTTTACCTTTATCACTCAAAGTTTGTAACAATTTTTAAATGTTTTCCCTGCTTTTAATGAGGGTTCTACAATGATAAATTTTAATGCAGGTAAAGATGCTCTTGAATGTGCAAATTACTATCAATTTTTTTGTCAATTGTAAGCACTTAGCACTTAGATTTATATACTGCTTTACAGTGCTTTACAGCCCTCTCTAAGCGGTTTACAGAGTCAGCATATTGCCCACAGCAATTTAACAATATGGATCCTCATTTTACCTACCTTGGAAAGATAGAAGGCTGAGTCAACCTTGTTAATGCAAAACCGCTGAGAGCAACTCTGTCACATAGTTTACAGACAATATTACTTTTATTTTTTTTTAAAAAAAGTTTATCCTGGGCAGTGCTGTTTTCTAAAATAGCATCAATCCTTGACAATAATAGATTGCTGATTGATATTTGAAATATATTTGACTCAGCAGTGGAAGCATTGTTGGATGAGGGAAAGAATTTTGATATAGTGCAGTGAAAATTTTTGGAGCAAGTTGCAGTCAAATTGGGATTTCCATCTTTTTTTATTAATTAAATTAACTGAGGTTGAATTCAATTGTTATTACAGCAACTGTTTGTTTTTAACAACTGCCATGTACAGCAACCAGATGCAGTTACAGTAGTGATCAAAAGTATCTATGTACCCAATCCTTGCAATTATAACCTTCTCAGGTCTTAAAAATGAAGCGAAGCTCAAGTAAGACAGCTGATCCTATGGTGAAATTAATCAAGTGACATATTTTTTCATAACGAATTAATACTTCAAATTTTTTTTTAAAAAAAGGTTGTTCACTTTAATGTGCTGGAAGTATAAAATGATTGAAGAAGATGAAGTATGATAGTCACACTACTGTTTTTGCTTCATATTCATAAATATATTAACATATATTGATATACATTCTATACAATAATAACATTAATATAATAAGAATAATATGTAAATGAAATGTTAAAGTATATTTGTAAACTCAGTGATTTTGAGCTTCCCGATTAATTAACCCTTAACAATTAATTAACTGAATTAACAAACACTATACAGAATATTAAAAAGCATATGTTTTAAGTTTGAGGAGGTGACAGCAAAGAGCAACATGCTGACCAAGAGAAAAAAAAGTTTCAACATGGGAGTTTTCACCAATCTTGTTGCTGGCATAAAATCAAGTATCAATCTTGAATGAGGTTGGCCAAAATCTGAAAAATAATAATCAATGTCTTTCAAAGAGAGACCAATAAAAAATTAGCTCCTTTGGAACTTCTTCAAATCATACCAATTAGAAATTTATTTGGATGAACAACCAATCAGAAATTAGTTTCAAGAATTCCAATGATCTGCTCCAATTAGAGATTAGTTCTGTTAAGAAACATAAGAGCTCATTAGTTCTTGCTCAGTTGCTTGTGAGTTGCCAAGAAATGTGCTACAGAGTAGACCATGTTCAACTCTGAAGATGGCTTCCCACAATTCTTGGCAAAACATCAATTAATTAGACCTTAGCCTAATATTTTGGAAGCTTATCATCATCATTGGTTCATATTGTGAGGAAGTAAAACTGGGATTGCTGCCTGTACTTGGGAAAAGCAGCTGCAGCTAAGCAGAAATGCTTTTCATCCCCATTTCCTCAAGACTCAGCACAGCTCCTGATTTTTCCCAGAAACTTGAGAGGAGTTGGCTCATTCACTCCTTCATTCATTCTCTCCCACTCACAATTTACTCACAAGCATCCATGCCAGCATTCCAGCTGCCTGGCTAATTGAACCGTACTTTATACTATGGTGTGACCAGTATTGGAAAACAAAAGATCTTCACACAAATATAATTGCTAATCTGGAACTGTTCATAGGTATTGGACTACAATTCCCAAAAGTTTCTATCAGCATGTCAACTACCAGGGAACATTGGAATTGTTTAAAACATCTAGAGAGCCCTAAATTTTCAGCCCCTGAATCGCATTGTCAGAATTTGCAGAATTAAAAATTGCCTGTGAAAATGTCATTTGTTTGATGATGAGCTTTGTTTATGTTTTAGGGTTTGTCTATTGTTAGATTTAGTTTGAAGGGAAGATTGCAGGAAAAGATTCAAAATTCAAAAACATGTTTAGGAATTAATTTGCTTTCTGTATTCAAGATATTGGTCACTGTATAGTAGCTATTCTCTGGTGGCTTACAGGAATTATAAGAAACGGCAAAAAATCCCTATAAAGTAAAGCTAATTTATTATGAAATTAATTAGCAATCGTAATACATGAAACACTTTTTTTGCCATAATCACTTAAGGAACAGAAAGAGACAGTCTCAGATGTATTCTGCTACTTTATTTTGATTTGTTATTTTAGAATAATTTTCTACCTATCTAGAAATCCACAACTATTTTATATTTATCATTTCTTAACTTTTGTACTGTTTGTCTAACCTGCAGTATAGTCCAGGGGTGAAATGTAAAATTTGTTACTACCGGTTCTGTGGGCGTGGCTTGGTGGGGGGGTGTAATGTGACTGGGTGGCGTGGCCAACTTTTTTTTTTTTTTTTTTTTTTTACTTTTAAAAGCATTTTTTCTACAATCTCTTCGGCAGAAGAGGTTACAGAAAAAAAATGCTTTTAGAAGCCTCTGACGATCAGGCAACTCAGCTGGGATCACCAGAGGCTTTTAAAGGCATTTTTTTTTCTACAGCCTCTTCAGCCGAAGAGGTTGTATAAACAATGCTTTTAAAGTAAAAAAACCAGCCTCTGATGATCGCGTGGCTCAGCTGGGCATGGGGGGGGCACAGGGATTTTTGCTACCGGTTCTCCGAACCACCCACCGCCATCGCTACCGGATCAGGCGAGCCGGTGCGAACCGGGAGCATTTCACCCCTGGTATAGTCCCTTCTAGTCTTTACATTTAGTCAGTTCTTAGTTTTAGTTATCATATTCATAGCCTTTCATTTTCCCCATTTTCCTGTTTCCTTTCTGCTGCTTCTCAGGAGTTGTCTTTGTATTGAATAAGCACATTTTCTTCACTACATAAATTAACTTTCTTCAATCTACATAATGGATTTGAGGGAAAATACAATGCTACATTAAGTGCTATGTGGAACCACAACTATAATTCTGTCTGTAGTGGAGCACAGCAGTACTCCGGCAGTTCTAAGGAATCTTGGCAAGCTTTGGAGGTCTCCCACAACATTAGTCTGTCTCACATCCTTCCATTTTAAAATGCTCCCAAGATTGATCCAGGCATTTTTGACTCTTTGGAGATCTAATTTGCATTGAAGAAACTATGAGTACAGACATGCTAGTATGTTTGTATGTCTAAAACTCACAAAGAATTATCAGCCAATCAGTTCTTGTCCTTTCTGGTGTGAAACCTTGACATTTCTCACAATTCACTATTGACATTTCCTGAGCTGAAATTATAGTATTCAACCATAAAGTAATTTTGGCATAAAGATGGATTGCAAACACATGATGATGATGATGATGATATGCAATCAGCAGTGGGTTTTATGTTGCCTCAGTGCCAGGACTCCACAGTTATTTGCAATTGTTGTTGTTGTTAGTTGCGAAGTCATGTCTGACCCATCGCAACCCATGGACAACGTTCCTCCAGGCCTTCCTGTCCTCTACCATCCTCTGGAGTCCATTTAAACTCACGCCTACTGCTTCAGTGACTCCATCCAGCCATCTCAATCTCTGTCATCCCCTTCTTCTTTTGCCCTTAATCTTTCCCAGCATTAGGCTCTTCTCCAGTGAGTCCTTCCTTCTCATTAGGTGGCCAAAGTGTTTGAGTTTCATCTTCAGGATCTGGCCTTCTAAAGAGCAGTCAGGGTTGATTTCCTCTAGGACTGACCGGTTGTTGTTTGCAATATTTTCCCCAATTTGAAGCGTGATATGTGTTTATTTGCTTTCCTCCTGTTTTAATTTCTTGTTTTGATGTATTATTTTAAATCCTGTTCCTGGCAAGGGTTTTGCAAGCCAGTCAGTGACTTCATGGTTTAGAATTATATATAAGCCTAAACAAACAATCAAGGATATATAGCTTGTTTACAGCTATTCCTTCCTTTCTACCCTCCCTCCCTCCCTCCCTCTTTCTTTCTTTTTCTTTCTTTCCTTCTTTCTTTGTCCTTCCTTCCTTCCTTCCTTCCTTCCTTCCTTCCTTCCTTCCTTCCTTCCTTCCTTCTTTCTTTCTATCTATCTATCTATCTATCACAGAATTTAAATTGACAATCTTTCTCCAGTCTTCTACCAAATGCATTTTTTCCTTCCTAGGCCAGGAGAAAGGCAGGGTGCTGATGGTGATGCTAGAACAAGAGGAGAAATGTAGGGAAGGGAAGTGGCCTCACTCATTTTGGCTTTCTCTCCATTCATCAAGATGTGATAATCATAAACTAATATATAACTCTTCACTTACACATAAGCACATATGCATACAGTGTTGCCCACTCCCATTTCAAATACTCATGTCAGGTATATTTGACATTTCCAAAAGATTCTTCCCTCAAATGAATATGATGAACAGTGATATCTAGGTGGCTATTTAAACTAAGCACATAGAAACAATCTGCCTTTTAATATAAGAGAAAAGATGTTTCAGGTGGATGCCTTGTAGAAAGCCTGTTAATCGTGAAAAGGCTGCAGTGTTACATTCATTTTCCTAAATTAAGTTCTGACTGACCAGACATTTCACATTTCTAGAGAATCTAGAGGATTTTTAAAAATATTATAAGCACTGTTAGGACCAAAAAAAAAAATAATTCTCTTTTGATTTAGTGCATTTGAAACATCATGGAGAATTTCACATGTGAATGCATACTAAGAATAGTTTTTTAGTCTGAGGGGGTGACAATAGAGAGCAACATGCTGGCCAAGAGAAGTTTCAACATGGGAGTTTTCTCAGAGGTTTCACCAATCTTTCTGCTGGCATAAAATCAACTGTCGGTCTTAAGTGAGGTTGGCCAAATCTTTGGTGGGGGGAAAAAGGACTCAAAGTAAAATAATAGCTGAGGGGCCAAATGAGGCTGGCAAGGGAGAAGAAAGACCTGTGCAATCTTGATGGTGTGTTTCTTTTCTCCTACAGTTCAGTCACTTGGCTGTCTGGGGAAGCATGCTGCTTTGGCTCGTCTTCTTCGGTGTCTACTCTACTATCTGGCCTGTCATTCCTATAGCACCAGACATGCTTGGACAGGTGAGTCATTTGCCGTCAAAGATCAAAGATCAAGGAGTTTTGGTCACCCAAAGCTATCCTAAGTAAACCCGTGGATTGGTTGAGTTTAAGAATCTACTGAAAGCTTATTTTCATTTTGTTTAAAACATTCTCAAGAGTGGAAAACGTTGCCTTTTTTTTTTTTTAAATAGATAATTGCATAAAATGTAAACACTGGGACTGTAATCCAAATCAACGTTTATTTCCATTTGGATGTTGGGGGAATGCAGCTTTTCTATGGGCTCTCATAAGAAACTTAATAGTGGTGAATAAAAACACATATTATGGTTTAACGTGATGGCTTGGTTTCTATAACACCGTGAACCACAGGCTACTAAGTTTCTCACTTTCATGTGGTATAGTGTGTTGTATGATTCCAGCCAATAAGTGATAGAAAGCCACACTTCACATAATATATTCAGTAAAGTTGCCACAAAGCTTACTCAATCAAAGAAATATTAATCATTGATTGTGCTTGCATATGAATGAACTCAATCATTTCTCCCTGGGAACTGGCTAAATAAACCATAGAAGTTTATTCGTTGATTATTTAGGAAGCTAGTAACTCTGGCTTGTTCATCTTGTAACAAGTCAGAGTTGGAAAACAGTTATAAACCATAGACCTTGCCAAGAAGATGAGTGTTTGAGCAAGCATGTTAATTAGACACAGAAAACCAGGATTTTTTAGCAAACGAGCTGAGCACGATATGTAAATTATTAAATTAGTTTTCCTAAATTGCAGTGAGGAATATTTTGGTGGATAGGAAGTTGAATTCAGCAATGGAGGAAAAGGCTAGAGTTGATGGAGTGAGGAATAGTTTAAACTTGGATTTTGCCATGATTTCCTGGGGCAAGGATTGTATCTTTCTTTCTTTTAGGCTAGCTAAGAGTTTCCTTTTTAAACCTTTGTATGTTATACTTACTCTGGGATGTCAGAGTACACAACAAAATGATGCTAAAAGACCATATGGGAATCTTTGGAACAGAATTGCCCATTCTGGGAATGTTGAAGTAAAATTGAATTAAAATTGAATTAAAACTGCCTACATTTGGATAGAACAAAAAAAAATATTTTCTAACTGGGAAGGGTTACTTTTAGAATGTGCTGTTAATGAGACTTCTCCAGCAGTGGGGTCTCCCAATTATTGTTTTGCGTTCAGAATTGTTATGCATTCAGTTACATAAGATTTTTATTTGTGTAAATATTTTAAATATCGCTTTAATAATCATCAATAAATTGGAAAGAAATAAAAACAAAAACAAACACAAGTCCCAAGACAAAGTGCTTATAAATACTCATGATATATTTAAAAACATCATTATGCATAATACATATTTTATATTATTACATATAAAGAACGGTTGCTAGAATTGGGTATGTCTAGTTTAGAGTTTAAAAGAAGGACTAGATTAGTCTAGTTTAGTCTAGTTTAAAAGAAGGATTAGGGGAGACATGATAGCAGTGTTCCAATCTCAGGGGCTGCCACAAAGAAGAGGGAGTCAAGCTGTTCTCCAAAGCATCTGAGGGCAGACAAGAAGCAATGGATGGAAACTAATCAAGGAGAGAAGCAATTTAGAACTAAGGAGAAATTTCCTGACAGTTAGAACAATTAATCAGTGGAACAACTTGCCTCCAGAAGTTGTGAATGTTCCAACACTGGAAGTTTTAAAGAAGATGTTGAATAACCATTTGTCTGAAGTGGTGTAGGGTTTCCTGCCTAAGCAGGGGGTTGGACTAGAAGACCTCCAAGGTCCCTTCCAACTCTGTCTATTCTATTCTAGTCTAGTCTAGTCTAGTCTAGTCTAGTCTAGTCTAGTCTAGTCTAGTCTAGTCTAGTCTAGTCTAGTCTATTCTGCAAAAGCTCAGAAATGTTCAGTCAAAAATGTTATCAGTAGAAGGATCAAGAGGGAGGTAATTCCTGTGTATTGTGTCCATCATTAGTTGGTTACACGTATTTAATTTATGGTTAGGGCTGGGGACCAATTGTTTTGCATTTTATTGTGAATTTACAAACTCCCTGAAATTAACATGTGCACTGAACACAATTTTGCAAACTTTCCTACATTTTGCAGTAGGAATTGTAAACAGCAACAAGAGCTAAGTGTAAATGCATACATAGGGGGAAACCCATACAAAAATTAATAGTTTGGTAAAGATGACATATAAGAATGTTGGGAGGGAAATTGCGTAGAAATGTGTCCTTAGAAGAAATGTTTATGAAAAGATGTGCAAAATGTTATGTTGACATTTTACATACAAACTGCCAAATGATGTGTAATGGGATGGAAGAAACCTAAAGCTAGAAAAAGAGAAATCTAAAAAGGATTTATCTTGACAGATCAACCACTCCTAGTCATTGGCATGCATTTGTGACCCAAATTTGATTGTACATTAATACTCTCCTTAGAAGGTATCCTAGTTGGTGGTTTCTTTTACAAAACACCAGTTGTAAACCAAAAGTTTTTGCAAGGCATATTATATATCTCCTCAGGATTTTGAGTATTCTTTTTCTCGGACTTGTGAAAATGAAAGAAAATATACCTGCAAAATAAATTATTGGGGATTATTATAACCAAAAGGGGAGCTCCGCATGTCACTTATAGTTAACTCTTAAAATATTCGTGGGATTTTGGATTTGCTTTTTCAATATCTATTCAGTTCCAGGTGGTGAAATTTTTCCCTTCAGTGTCATGATTTCAATCTTTCGAGAATAGGGCGAAATAATGATTCTGTCAAAACCACTCAAGTGCCCAATGGGAACAAGAAAAATAGGAGATTTTTTAAAAAGAGGACATAATAAAATAAAATCAGTCTGTGCCCATTGTGGTCTCTGTTAGTAGATGAAATAAAGTTTGCAGCGTATATGTTTGCCCCATTTGTATTGTGCTTTTTTATAATAGGAGGGAAATGGTTTTATGAATAAAATAAAAGATTTCAAAACCAAGCTCCAAAGGAGTTTCTAGAGTGCACATAAACCCAAATCTCCTTTCCCAGTTTTATAATATTTCCCAGAGAGAAGAAAAGTTCCAAATCTGTGCTCCTAGTCTTTCCTTGCCAACCCAGATAGTGCAGGGACAAATATGTTAGCAGCAGAGCATAACATCATCACATATGCTAAGCAATTTATAGCAGTGGACAAGAGCATAGCATTTCACTTTGGAGATGTCTGAATTATACCATTGTGAAATTCCCAACCTTCTTCCTAAATTGAGGGCCTTGCTGGTTCTTCCTCTCTACAATCCCATTTCTACAACTGTCCATCATAGGTACATTTCCTTTTTCTTTGGAGTTGGATTCAAGCTTCACTTTCCTTTCCATAACACCTTTCAGGTGTAAGAATTACTCAGCATATGAGTAATTCCTATTTTTGCTGTACACGTATGCAAACAGTCCATGGGATGAAAATGTTGGGGAGGCATGCTTGAAGGGCAGGAACAATTCTACGTTCACTGTGGAGAGGAAGGAAAGGGAGATGGTCCATGGATTCATCAGTGCTCAATGTTGCAGTGTGTCTGTGCAGCTGAGAAATTGGATGAGAGTAATAGAGGACATCTATTATGAATGAATGCATGGACCATTCATTTACAGTCAATGGCTTCTTAATACAGCACATGGTTTGTCTTCCAAAATTAGAGTTAAGTCGCTGATCAAAGAAGCAAAGAACCATGGCTGGTGAGAGTAGGGTGTAATAACTTAGAGGGCGCAGTTGTCAGTCTCTATATAAAGCAGCTTCTTCTTCATTAATTGCTTCTTCCCAGTGGTGAAATCCAAATTTTTTTACTACCTGTTCTGTGGGTGTGGCTTGGTGGGCGTGACAGGGAAGGATACTGTAAAATCTCCATTCCCACCCTACTCCAGGGGAAGGATACTGCAAAATCCCCATTCCCTCCCCACTCCTGGGGGAAGGATATTGAAAATTCTTCATTCCCACCCCACTTTGGGGCCAGCCAGAGGTGGTATTTGCTGGTTCTCCAAACTACTCAAAATTTCCGCTACCAGTTCTCCAGAACCTGTCAGAACCTGCTGGATTTCACCCCTGCTTCTTCCCTATATGTCTTATGCAAATATTCTGATCAGAGAAGGGATAGAGTTTGAAATCAATCAGCAATGAAAACTGAGTACTGCTCCTAAGAAGGGAAAAATAAATATAAAACCAAGATAACAATTTTATTTTTACAAAATAAAATAATAATATATCTCCTTTCAAAAAGAAGCAAAATAATAACCAACCCCCAAAAAGGACATTTTAAATGTTATTTATCAGTTCTGAAGTTACTAATAATTTCTGTTAAACAATGGAACTATACTCACCATTTTCTGTCAAAACTGGTAATGATCTAATAAATATTACATTTGTGTTCTGCTTTAAAATAGGGGATAATTGGGTTTTAAACAATTGGTATGGACAGATTTCTAGGGTGAGAAGAAAGAATGACAGCTGACAAAACAGGATTTGCCAGGATCCCTGTGATTGGCAGAGAAACAACTAAGTCCTAAATCCTTAGATATTATTCCACAGCATCCTCAATATATTCTTGGCATCATGATTCTAATTCAGATTTCCATAAATTAGGCTGAAATTGATTACAAGCATCATGCAAAGCAATTAAGTGCCTTTTTTTTTTTTTACAATCCTGTGTGAAAAGCTCAAATATATTGGCTAATATATTTGAAATATATTTAAGTTTTTAATATATTTAAATATATTTAAGTTTTAAGTCCACCTATACCTTATTGTCATTAGTTATACTTCATTCATTCCATACTTTACTGGACTTATTTTTGATAATTAGGTATGCCATTTAAGCTATTAGTTAGTCTACTTGTTTTTATATCTAGCAATTCTAATTAAATAATATATCTTTGTGTTCTCAATTAATCAGAAATTGATTCCTTTGTTTACACATATTAATCTTATTCCTGAACAGAATCAAATCAGAACATGTTCAGTTACAATTAAAAACTAACCAAGGTATTTAAT